AATCTTTTTCAAAGAAAAATAGTCAATCGAACTTTAAATCAAGTTTTCGAGATTTTACCTTAAAAGAAAATCTTTTTCGATCTCATCAAATCGAATTAAAGACCAAACAGTAGTACATTCACTGTCTTCATCCTGCTTCTCATTGTTAGCAAGATTAAACAATACCTTGATAATATGAAAATAAAAGAAATAAATATTAAGAGCAGAGAAACAAACGAAATTAAGTGTTTCTCTGATAATTATAAATTTTTGAAAAAAAAAAAATACTTTCTTCTTATTGGATACATTTCAGATTACATATTTAATATACTACTATAAGATACTTGATAAGGACAAAGATATTCTACATCTAAATCCGTTGTAGGTTGCACTAGTAATGTTTTTAATATATATATTTATTCAAATAAGATAGATTTTCAATTAAAATGAATTTATTTTCATAAATTTAAATAAATATGACTTTTTTCATACATATTAAACATAACATTGTTAAAGAAATATTAGTTTAATCAATGAAATTCTCTGAATGATATTCAGAATTGAAATTCAAAACAAAAAAAAATATCACATATTAAAAATTACAATGAATTATATTTTATTTAATAATAAACTTGTGGTCTAAGGAAAATTATTTGATCTTCAAATTTGTAAATTACTAAGAAAAATTACAAGATGTTTCCCAATATATTTGATTCATTTGAACTATGATTAAAATTTTGAATATCAAATTCAGTATATCGAACTATACTAAAATACATCATTTCGTATATTACTACATGCTTTAAAATTATATGAGAATATTATTTCACTTTTTTTTTTAACTTTATCTAATTTAATTAATTTTCTTGTTATTTCGATTGTTAATTCAATATTGTTTTCAATAAATATACTTATCACAAAAAAAAAAAAATTGAATAACTTATTAAGAATGAAACAAATTCTATTCGTTTTCTATGATTAACTGGACAACTACTATTGAATTTCTCCAAATACATTTATATTCTTTTTTTTCATAATAATCATATTAAATTTGATTGGACAATAATATCTTGAAAAAAATCTTATTATAAAATATAATGTAAGAATATACGTTATCAGAAAAGGTTTTGTTTAATTTCTTTAAAAATTTTCAAAGATTCGATTATTTACATGATCCATTCGATGACAAATACTGTAATTATTTGTGAAATATAGAAATAGTAGAAGAAACCGATACAAATTTTATTTTATATTTATTTATACTTCACTAATCTTTCGATTGTACTGAGTGGTAAATCTAGCGATAATGAAGAGTTCTATTACTTAGTAGTAGTAATGGAAACATTTAATAATTATTGAATAATGGATCACAGAAAGTATTCAATATCTTTATCGGCAACTTGATAATGTAATGATAACTGAATAATCTAATTAAATTACATTCACTAAATATCAAACAATTTTTTCTAAACAAGACAATCATATTTATTTGTAAATAAAAAGAATTATTGTATTTTTTTAGTCAATAGAACTGCTGAACAACTATGGAGAGAGAGAGCCCGAGAAGAAAAAAGAAAAAATAATAAGAGAAAAATATGCACAGAACAACATAAGAGAAAGAAGTGTATACTAGTGTACTGTGTAAATGATATTTCTAATCATGATTGCGATACAAAGAAAATCCGAAGAGAGCTACGGATCTACGTGTTTATGAATCTGGCTGGATCCAGACAAGACTCCGAGTCTGGAAGGATTCGCAGCTTTCTATCATGCAGTACGCGCTAGTGTATATATAAATTCATATAGGTAAAGAGAGAAAGTTCTTATGATAGCATACGAAGAAGATGTACGTCATAAACACAATATAACAGTTGAATCAAAGATACTTCGATTAAATCTTAATGCAGCATTTCTTACTTGTCCATTGAGATCAAACACAATATTCTATTTTATATTTCAATAGATGAGTGAAAAGTTTGTATGTAGAAAAAATACAAAAATAAGTGCATTGAAGATTTAATAAAAATTTATTCTGATTTCTTTTTTAAATTTATAATCAGAAAAAGATCTTCTTTCTTATACAAACTTCACTCGACAAAAGTTTTATATTTTATATATTTTTCTTTACCAATATTGTTTGGTAAAATATATTCCAATTAATCATTCGAGATAGAGTGTGACGGGTGTGAATAATGAAAAAATACTCTCACACACACGGGAATCTACATCTATCGATATGGTCGCAAGATTTCGGCTAGAAATGAGAAATGTCGAGTGAAATGACATGAGCCAGTTCAGTGTCTTTGCAGATCACCAAGATGTTATCGCATCGCGAACACATATTCATTACATATAAAGGTCGGTGACAGCTCACACAGTCAGCAATCAGCAGTGTATGGCGTCATTGATATTCGAATAAATGACGAATGCTTGAAACTGAAGATTGTCTTGGTTTCATCAGATGCTTATCTGACTAAAAAAAATGTGACTCTTCGTTCCATAGATGACAATCAATTCAGAAATATGATCAGATCCATTGTTTTTCATCAAGAAAACTCTCAAATACTGAGGCACTGCTCCATTGTACCATGATTATCTCGCTCCTTACAATTAGTTTTTATCTTAGTTCAAATGATTTAACGATTAAAAACAGTAGTAGTTTGATCTTTTCATATACAAAGACAACAAACAATTTATTAGCGAAGGTCAACAATCAAAATATCAAATCCAGTGAACCAATAGATACACAATTTGAGTTTACGAAAGCAGAATATCGAGCAACAACGGCAAATTCACATCCAGCAATGTTTCTAAAATATAATCGAGTAATGCAATCACTTAATAGAACGAGTTTTTTTTTTTATTTTTGACAAATCCACACTTCATTAACTTTCCAACAAATTTCTAACAAATAAAGAAGAGATTCTCGTTCGAGCGAGACATATAGCTTAGGATAATTCGATAAGAGTGTGAATAATTTGGAATTCTTTATTTAAGATGGGAATCATTGCAGTTAGTATAATGAATGAGCAAAAAAAACAATTCATTTATTCAATACTGAAAAATCGAGTTTTCATCATCGTTTATATGTCTTATTTGATAGATAGTAAAATATAATGTCAAAACGAAAGAAGTTTCTTATAAGAAGCCTACTACATTATTGATTGAAATAATATCAAATATATTTAGCTGCTAGTGTATTTGTCCATCCAGCCGAGTACTTGTTCATACCAAGCAATGGAATGTAGTGGGTTTAGTACCCAATGATTTTCGCTGGGAAAATAGAGTAACTGACTTGGGATATTACGGCGTTGCAAAGCTGTAAAGGCACTAATTCCTTGTGTTTCGGGTACACGATAATCACGAGCACCAACAATAACCAGCATGGGCACTGTCCAATTTGCAACATGATTAACTGGATTATAAAGTTCATAGGCAGCTGGATTAGTCCATGGAGTGAAACCTCCTGCATCATACTCAGTGAAAAATAGTTCTTCTGTGGAATAACCCATAGCTCTCATATCAAACAAACCATTATGACAAATGAGTGTTTTAAAACGAGCGCTCATCTCTGGTTGTCCAGCAATCCAATTGATCATATATCCACCATAACTAGCACCCAATGCTGCGATTCGGTTCGGATCAATATAAGAATAAGCACTCAGAGCATGAGTAAGTCCTTTTTGAAGATCTTCGTAAGGCCAAGAACCGTATTGACCTGTAATACTGTTTGTAAAATTCTGTCCATATGAATCAGAACCATGAAAATTGATGGCAATGACAGCGTAGCCTTGAGAAGAAAACGATTGAAAATTCCATCGATAACTCCATGCATTATACCAACTACTTTGTGGACCACCATGGATGAGAAAAGCTAGAGGAGCTGAATTGCTTGTGTGATTCGCCGGTGGTATATGCCATCCCCAAACCGTATCACCTTGAGCACCTGTAAACGAAAATTTATTGGCTTCGGTACTCATTTTTACTTTATCCAATAGAGCTTTATTATGATCAGTGAGGGGTTGAATTGACTCATTTGACGAATATAAATAGATATTTGCCGGTTCAAGGATACTTTCATGTGTGAAAACAAACGTTTGATTGTCAGTAGGATGAAGATTGATATTGTGCGAAGTACCATTGCTAATTATAACAATGGGCAAGTCATTCGTAAATATATTGGATTTAAAGTAGATAACATTTTCTGCTTCTTCGCCGATTTCAAGATAAAGAGATTGACCATCAATAGACCATGTTACAACTTGAATACTTCGATCCCAATCGTCGAGAAGAGTTATTGTCGAATCCGATCCTGAAATCGAAAATAAAAAAGAATACAAGTTGAATCAACATGAAAATAACATGACTAACCATTGTATACTTTAATTTTATATTGATCAGCTTCGTATCCTGGAACTACATGTGATCGATAGACCAATATACTATCATCTGTTGGCGAATAAGATGGATCGGTATCGGTTGCTGGATTATTGCATGTAATACACACACTCTTTTCTCCAGATGTACTTAAATCAAGTGTATAGATATCTAAATTGGTTGACCAAGCTACTTCACTCGTTTCATCATATTGTCGAGTATATGCAAACGAATTACCAGTTGCACTAAATGACCATTGAGCTTTAGCATCACCGAAAGGTCGTGTTGGCGAATCACTATCTACATCGAAAAGTACATCGATTGGTGACGATGAAAAACTGAATATTCTGTTGCTTTGTCGTTGGATTTCAACAAGAAATGGATGATGACGTCGACCTGTCATATATTCATCCCAATGTCGAATGTATAGTTTATCGAATTCATGAATTGAAATACCACTAGCTTTCTCTGCCGCTTGTCGAGCAACTGTTGCTTCGATCGTTAAGTTTGGGTAAACTTGACAACTAAATGCTAGACGTGATGCTTGTCGATTAACTAAAAGATTATCAATATCCAATGGATAATCTGTTATTTGAATCGGATCGATGAAAGTAGTTATCGTTGATAAATCCTCAGTGAGATTAAGTTGAAAAATTTGATTTAGACGTGATGATGCTCGATTAGACAAGAAGAGAATTGCATCATTTTTTACCCAAAAGAACTAACGAATAAAAACAAAACAGTTTGAATAAATATATCCGATTCTTCTATAATTACCTGCTGGTCATGTATACCCCAAATTGGACGTGTCAATTGAACAGTCTTGTTCGTTTCTAAGTCGCGCCAGTGTAAAGTTGTTGTTGATCCACGTAAATCAGGCATATGATATTGTCGTCTTAAATAAATTATGCTTTTCCCATTGTTTGGATGAAATTGAGGCGATGAAAGACGATCCAAACGAAGATTATCCGATTGATCAAAATTATGTGGATTCCCCAATGACTGATAGTATTCACTGTTTGTTTGATAATCACTGGCATTCCATGTCGTCATTGAAGATGTTGTTGCCACTATTGCTGATGGTGTCGCCCCTAGCGTTGTAGTTTGGTCAGGACATTCCTTGGAATTGGAACGTCGAGCAATAACCACAACACAGGGTATTAGTACGATGACAGCACCCAACAAAAAGAACCCAACTAACAAAAAAACCTAAAATGAACAGTAGTAAAAATGAATATGCAAGAGCAAATATTAGATTTTTCAACCTTCTTCCACTCGAATACCATTGAAACATGCAAATAGATGTCTTGATGAATGGCAAAGCATGCTTATTCGTTTTATATTATCTGCAGAAAATTTATTGCTTTGATACTTGAGTTAATGATAGAAAACCGTTAAGTGCGGTATAACATAGCTCTTATCATAATCGTTAAATCTATTGATTTTAACAAAATGATAAAACTATTCATGAAAAAAATTGCAGAAAAAAACAACATTTGAATGCACGTCTTTTTTTATCAACTTGCATGTTTTTGCTAGAGCTTAAGCGCGCTTTTTCTCATCAAAAATGTAAATGAATCGTTCAAGAAAATGTTCCTCGTGATACATTCTATGGATATTTAAATGCATGTTTTCTCCACAAAATTTTTTTTCTATTCGTTTATACATATGACTTATTCAAACGATATTTACACTACTCTATTACATGTTTCCTATTGAGTTCTTTGCTGCTTCTTCTATTGATTCACACTTAATCTTTTATTAAACCCTAATGGAGCACTTGAATATGTCACTCATATCTAGTTTTTTATCATATTGACTACGATAAATCTGTCTTGATATCTTTAAAACTTTCAGTAAAGAAGTTACTAAGATATGTGTGATAGGATGATGTAAATATAATAAAATATTCATTATCGATAAATGAATAGAAAAAAAAGCTTTCAGAAACGAAACAACAAATTAATCTAATTTTTGATAATATTTTAAGGATATGTGAATCAAAACTATTCATATAATCAATATTTCGATCAACGAATAAAGGTTTCATTTGTTTATCAATAAATCATCAAAGGTTCTAGGTAAACTAAAGAATGATGACAAATAAAAAAAAACAAATTCCATTTTTTGAACGCAATTTATATTAATATCAATCTTGAATATCTTTATTCATACATTAATAATAGTAAAAAGTAAGCGACCGACACTACTTAATGTATTGCTAATAACGTTTTACCGGTCACTTAACCATTAAGCAGAAAAGTATGCATTCGAATCGTATCATTTTCAGTTTTATTATTGAGTTAGTTAATAAATTAATTTTTATGTATTTAAGTTTATTTTAAGAACAACTTTCCAGAGAGAGAAGCATATCCATAGAAGTCGAATAAATAGTTTAAATGGGCTTATTTTTCTGCGAATGGGATCATTTTTTGGAACAAAAAACAAAATTTGAAGAAAAAAACAGATTATGCTAAAACCATAAAAACTTCAGTATGACACCTTTTTTTTTGTTACATAGAACAAGATTCGATAATTCAAAGATAATTGTGAAACTAAAATTCAAGTATATTCTCTCGCAGGATTGCTTGAATTCGCTAGATTTTTACCTATGACTATACACTATGATATTTCTAACTAAACACTCAATTAATATATCGAAATTTTTTGATATACATGAAACTAAGCATTTCTAATATGTATATGGATATGTATAGTTTATCACTATGAACTCCATCTTTCAGATAAATAATTTAGAATAGTGTAAAAGAACGACTAAGATTGAATCAAAGACACATTATAATTTACAAGTAGACAAAAGTAAAGATTTCTGTACACAATTTAAGTTTATCAATTTGAGATTGAAGACATGAAAAAAAGGAAGAAAAGAAATATATAAATATTTTCAAAATACACTAATTCAATTATTGAAGAAACAGAACATCGTAAAAAACATAAAGAAATGAAAAAGGGAGCAATAAAAATGAAAGACGGCTGTTATCGATGTTACTCATAAATTGTGCTTGAAGAAAATGACAACCTATTCATGATAAAGTACATTATTGATTGAATGAATGAATAGGTTATAAAAGTATTCGAGCTTTTATTAAGAATAAAGTAACTAAAAATCCTTGATGGTCAATGCAAGATGTCAGTTACAAAAAGAAAGACGTTAATAGTATCGTGTTATCTCTTTTAGTTTTCCAATTTTTTCACGTTTGATTCATTTTTCCTTGCCATATGTGTGTTATTCAATTATTTTTTCTCTTTTCAAGAGAACAGATCTTTATAAGTTATATATTTCCGAATGTGATATAATGAAATATTTATTTATATGTTAGAAGATTTTTGTTTCATGGAAACGTGTATTTACTCAAAAATAGAAATCTAAATATTGTTTGACCCTATTTCAATAAAACAGCGGGAAAAATTTATGTAAATATATTAGAAATAGACATATTCAAATGAACGAGATGATAAATAGCAATGACTGAAGAGAACTAATAAGAATTTATTTGGCCTTTAGCCATTGAAATAGATTACTCTAAAACAACATGAACAACTTTGTGTCAAACTTGTCGAAATATTATCATCAAATTAGAAATGGAACAATAGTATTTCATGTGATATTGCTAGAAACTTAGACTCTGTATTAAGTCATTGAAAACATAAAATAGAATATTTTAGTGATGAAAAAATAAGTCAGAATCAAAATATTAGACGAAAATTAAAAGATGTCAATGCACAAAAACGAGATAATCAAGCTTATGAATGGTTTGTATAATAAGATACATTAAAATTAGAAGATTGTTTTTAAAAACAATTAAATTTTGTATCGTACTTGAAACATTATTTTCTGTAATGTTTTCTTCATTACTCAACAAATTGTACTTCAAATTTTTAAAGCGAACATCTCAGTTTAGTAAACATTTTTGAATGATCTCGAGAATGTTCACAATAAAAAGGTTTTACTGTAGGCGGATACACTAGAATATGAAGAGATCACACTCAATCTCACACTATCATTACTCTAGTTCTGTTTCGTTGAAGTAAATGTGATTGAACTTCACCTTCGTGAGTAGTATTTTTTTTCTATCGTGCTGTTCTAATACTGTTTTTCTCAGTATAGATCTCCCTAATAAGGTATTTTAACAAATCTCATGACATTGTCTCAAAGCTATTTAAAATAACTAATAAAAGGTTTGTATGTTGAACTGCCGAACAGCATTTAAAGTGTCAATGTATAACGGCTGTCCAACATATTTTTGTAGGAGTGATCGTTATAATATGAAGATGAATCCTAGTATATTAGTGTCTATTAACTGATTCTAGATTTCAATCAAACACATGACTTAATAAGAGTCTATCATACATCGTTGTTTTATCTGTTTGATGAGAATTATTTAATAAATAATTATGAGTTAAATATAGAGTTGTCAAGATATTTCGATTCGTGCCATTCTTTGAGTTACATCTTAAAAACCTTTTATCTCTTTTAACAATAATTTGAGTCAAAGCGTTGGCTTAGTGTGATGGTCTGCCCTTTTGTTTGCGTGGAGTCAGACTGTCAGTTTTACCCACATCCATATGCCTACATTAAACATGATGAATGTATAACAAAAATCTTCATTGTTATTGTCGACTTTTTCTGTCTATGAAGAAATTTCGATCTATTATTCAGCCTTCGAACAAACTTATCTCTAATTCTCTTTTCCTCATCTTGGATTCTTTTCTTGTCTTCAACACCTACACCCTTCTAAAGGGTATGCACAAATTTCATCAAAGATTAGCAAGGATCTCTTCCACTTCACATTTCGCCTCGCATTCGAGTTACTTCTGAAAATAAACCTTTGCTTCAGATAAATCACCGATTGTTAAATATACATTGGCAATATTACTGTAAACTGCGGTCAATTCTTCATTTCGATTAGTGCATTCTATTGTTTGTGAAATACGTAGGTATTACTTGTTGATAACTGTTCAAAGCATGAAGCATATCTCCTAACAGCTAATGAATCATTGCAATGCTGTTATATGTAGCAGCTCGAGCACTATCATTTATGAGATAATGATAAAGTGTTAGTTCATAATTTTGTAAAGCTTCACTATAATCCTGCTTATGGGTGTGGATATGGATGTGACTGTAATTTTATCTTCTTCAATCATCCATACTCACACCCTCACACAGTCATTCGTAGAAAAACAAATCAGGAGAAAGTTACAAAAAGAGACCTCCAATAAGTAAGTTGAATGTTTAAAATCACAGTTTTGATATCACTTTCTATCCACATCACCTTTAAATAATACGTAACACTAAGCACCAATGTAAATAGTACTCAATCAATGAATATTCACCTAAATAGTACAAATTTTCAACAAAAAAATTCAGGCATATTCAATGCATTGCAGAATCTTAAACGTTGTCTATAATTTTAAATTGAAAATTATGTTTTTTTATATAAACTCGTGTTTGTTCTATTCTTTCATTTTCTTATGGACATATCAAATACTCAAATTGAACATATATTTACTAGATATTCGTTTTCTAAGTTAATTTATATACTTCTTTAAAAGAAAAAAAATATAAGAATTATTTTCTGTTGTATTTTTCTATTGTGAGAAGCTTGCTTTTTGTACATTTGTTAAACTTTTCTCATATAACAACAATTTAAGAAAACATTTTATTTTAGATAAAAAAAAAATGATCCAAAACCATAGTCAATCGTACAGATTAAAAATTTTATTATCAATTCAATTGCTAAAATATTCATTCAATAATGAAGTTATGTTTATATTAAATATGAAAGTTTTAATCAACAACATAAAAATTAATTTAGATCTATTATTAGTTATATTAAATCGAATTTCAAAACTATGCAATAATGTTGAATTATTTTTTTGTAATTTTAAAACAAAACAAAAAAAAAACTTAATTAAAATGTAATAAAATTTCAAAATACGAAATCTTATGATTCGAACTCAAACTAGAATTATATATCAATCATCTGACAAATTTCACTATTCTTGATTTTTTTTTTTTTTCATCATTGATT